CTTTATGTAGGAAATGGGATTGAACAAACAAATGTGACGCAACTTGGCCATTTTACATTGGTTATATTTCAACTGCTTACCAAATGCATACATCTTTGCACTTTAAAGGATGGTTGCTATCCATTGGGTGTGACTAAATCCTCTAGGCTGTAACCAATGTACACCATGAAGTGGTTTTTCTTCCAGAAGTAACAGTATCAACTTGGCACTTTCCTGATAGTTATCACAAGACTTTACATCTTCTGATGCATCACCAAATTCAGGCACAGACAGCAGTTCATGAAAAAAACAACTACTTCTTGCTGATATTACAGTCTATGATCACAAATGTCAAGTCTTTTGTATGTCAAATTGCTGTTATATTTTTATAGTATATCTTTTTATAATTATTACTATTGTTGATATCTAGATAATAATTATTGTTGTTATTATCACTATTTTTGTTATTATTGAATTTGACAGGTGTTTACTTAATATTAGTACTCAATACTATTTGTAAATATCCTTGATGTAAGAACTTTTATTCAGAAATATATTTGATTTGATCCAAAACCTTGGTGTTTGAGGTCAAAATTTGTATAAAATGCAACCCTAAGTTTCAGATTTTGCTGATTTTTACACCACTCAAATGTTTTAATAAGTTATAAACATTCCCAAAATTTCATCTAATTCCAAATAGTTTTAAGGATTAACTATTTTAACTTTGCCTTAAACTAACAAAAATCTGCCATTTTTAAAAATGGTTTTGATCTTTGTTTCTGTTGTGTGTGCAATGGAAATCTGAAAATATGTATGCTTACTTTTTTTGAGGTAAGGAATCCAATAAAACAACTTAAAATATTAAAAAATTATATTTACATAATACTTGAAATTTTACCTTTATCGCAATTTTACTCGGAAAAGTTTAATTTAAAAAATTATTTTCTTTGTAAGTCTGACACACTGAATTTTTTATACTTTTTCTTGGATGACTAAATAATTGCAAATTTTATAAGTGTGAACTGCCATAAGAGCGAATGGCGTAAGTGTGAACTGGTACAAATGTGAACTGGTATAAGTGCAAACTTGCATAAGTGCAAACTTGTATAAGTGCGAAGTAGTTGCAAAAACTGGCGCAAGTACGAACTGATATAAGTGGGCCAAAAAAATTTGCAAACATTGGCATAAGTGCGAACTGGAATAATTGCAAATCAGTTACAAAAACTGGCATAAGTGTAAATCAGCATAAGTGCAAACTAGCATAATTGCATTGAAAAAACATTTTCATAAATGTGAAGCAGTTGCAAAACCTGGCATAAGTTCGAATTGGCATAAATGCGAACTGGCATAAGTGTGCCAATAGAATTTATTAACATTGGCATAAGTGTGAACTCGCATAAGTGCGAAATGCGAATTTGCACTTGTGCCAGTTTTCGAAACTGCTTTGCACTTTTGCCAGTTCGCACTTATGACAGTTTGCACTTATGCCAATGTTTGCAAATTCTTTTGGCACACATGTTGATTTACACTTAATCCAGTTTTTGCAATTTCTTTGCACTTATGCTAGATTGCATTTATGCCATATTACACTTATGCTAGTTCACTTTTTTTGAACATTTATGCCAATTCACACATATGCCAGTTCGCATTTATGCCAGTTTTTGAAATGCTTCATGCTTATGCTAGTTTGCACTTAAAAATTCGCTTCCTGCTTTTTTCTTATATATCCTTGCTGTCTGGGTCCGTAAAATATTGGTCTTTACTAAAATGACCATTTCTATATTTATTCTTTTATACTTATTTCTATACTTGCTCAATGGTTTAGTTCACTGATTTAGTGGTTTAAGGCAGTGGTTTAGTGCACTTTCATTAGTGTTATTAGTGAGGGTTCATATCCCCCCCCCCCAATTATTTTCAATTTTTTTCAATCTGGTTGTATATACGAAAAAATACAGCAAAAAAGACTTTGGATTGTTAAAATAAAATTTTAACAATTAAAAGTTTTTGCTAGCTACACAATTTTTTTATTTTTTTCCTTCTACAGCAGCACTTTCTGGGGTAGCATGACAGGCTTATTAATTAATTTATTTATTAACTTTCAGACCATAACTTTTTTTCAGACCATCCACAGCTTATCAGAACAATCGCCCCATTAATTAATTTTGAAAAAAAATGTAAGTTAAAACATAAAATCCTTTTTCCTATAAAAAAGAAAATTGTATCTTTTAGGTGTATTAAATGCACTAACTTCACTTATTACCTGTGCATATTAATAACAAGTATTTTTATCATGAAAAAAAAAAAAGATTAAAAAAATGAATAAATATGCGTAAGGATTTGAACCACAATGATGCACTGCAAGTTAATCACTTCGACCACTAATGCGCGATGTTCAAAACACAAAACACTTTTTAATAAACAAAAGACTTAATAAAATGGCAAATAAATGCTATAAATCAAAATTAAGTAGAAATGTAATTTTCAAGTAAAAGTAAAACTGTAAAACTTGATGTTTTGACAT